CTGTATATGTATAGTGGGGGTGTGAATGTCTGTATATGTATAGTGGGGGTGGGTGGTGCAAGCGCCAGACTCCAGTGCTCCAGATTGGGAAAGTGACGTAGTATCAATAACTGCACATAATACCAGTAAATGTTTGTATACTTTTAAGTGTTGGAGTTAAGGAGTCTGATAGATGAATGAATGAATGAATGAATGAATGAATGAATAATAATAAATATGCTATCTAGGAGTAACTCTTACTTGCAGGGGAAGTAAAATACAAAACACATTCTCTTGTCCTGAGACTTAAATGAGCTGTAATGGGGATTTTTATTATGGTCTGTCTTTATATGTATAGCCATCTAAGACCCACAAGTCAACATTCAAAGCTTCTAAGCACAGAAGTTTATTGTAATCATTCATCCAGATACCTTCTCATTCAAAGGACACCAGGGAATTTCCCAGGAATTAAAACATGAATGGAACAAGACTTCCTGTGGGGACTCTGAATAGGTCTATAAAAAAATTATCTGTCTGTAAAATCGTCTGATCGGACGTAAACGAGGTGCTAACGGATGAGCGGCATCAATTCAATTACATGTTTCAATTCAGTTTTATTTGTATAGCGCATTTTCACAACCTTACATTGTCTCAAAGCAGTTTACATTATCCCAGCCCCCAATGCCCCTAGTGCACAAGCTAGAGGTGACAGGGGCGAGATAAAACTCCCTAGTAGGAAGAAACCTTGGGGGGTTCCAGACTCAAAGGGGGAGCCCACCATCCAGGGGCCGGCAGAGGAAGCAAGATGGCAAAAGTCCCAATTCACACTATCCAACTTTTAACACACATCTTAAGAAAGAGATGGGGGATGGGGGGGGGGTCTGCAGTATTTCCTCCTGAAAAGATGATGCATGTGAAGCTCCAGCCAACATTAACATGAAAAGAGCTCTAAAATGCGCAGATCGTGCCTCAAACAGACCATGTGTGAAGGGTTGGTCAAAGGCTTGGGAGACGCCCTTTATTGCTTTGTTGATTGGCCTCAGACGACGGCAGTGGTGGCCCTGTACCCACGTGTCAGACTGCCCCCTTTGGGGGGCTGTAATGCTGTGGGGAGACACAAACCACTGCCAGAACAACTACTTCACATCCACCAGGCGATGATATCATACATTTCTTCATTGCCAGCAGGCCCGTAGCCAGAAATAAATTTCGTGGAGGGTCCGGCAACCTATGAGTATAACCTATGGGTTACCAAAACTGATGCCCAGGGGCCCCCCACTAAAAAAGGGCCCCAACTAACCTTGTTTGATATGATTTTACATCTAGTGTTTTACAGGGTCATCCTCTATTTTATGGGTCCATCTAGTATTGAAAAATAAAATGATGTCATGCTTTGAACCAATATGTTTTTGAACGTGTCCAAACGCAAATGCAATTAAATTCAGTCCGAGAAATCGATCCCCCTAACATTTCATAAGCCATTTTATAAATCATTGTGAACCCAACCCCCCCCTCCCCCCATCCCTCCCATCCCTGGTCTACAAGAATAAATTGTGAATCAAATTGGTTTTGAGAAAATCTTGCGATATTACAGTCCTATTGCAGTAGAAATTCCACAGAGTGTATTTGGTTTGTGTCAGCTGCCCCTTGCCTGAACCATTTGCCTGTCTGTGCGTATGACAATCCTGGATACGGGCCGGCAATCCAAAACTGAAATCCACCCAGCTCCAAAAGCAAAGCTGAACTTTACTCAAGAGCATTTCATATATAAACTGCCTCGACATTTTATATGAAAATATGCCAGCCTATATAAAATGTAAGTTTAGGTCTAACGGGGTTAGCAAAAATAAATCAGTGATCACGCTGCTAAATGTACATTGTGAGGCAGTATTCCCCAAGCAATTATACACAATGTAATCCTCTGCGATCTGATTTGAAAGTAAGCTAACAGGATGTGACTTTGAAAACAGCACAATGGTGATTCATTCCATTATTTTACTTATGACTTAAAGTTTCATTCACTGATATAACGGGCACTCGCTCAACAACTTGCTAGATTAATCAGGAACAGAACAAGTTCAAACTGAATGTTTTTCTTAGTCATGTGCCTGGTATGGTAACTCCTAATCAGCAGGAGGCAGTAAAGAGTATCTTCAAACACTGGCGAAAAAGGTGCCTTATTTAAAAATAAGTAAAATGTTACCTACTGGAAGACTTCGTCATGTCTGCATTTTAGAAAACCTTTGGTGTCTAGGATGGTAATTATCCAATTAGTGGTAGTGCCTGTTTGCCTGCCATTCAGTTTTGTGTTATTTATTTTTTGGGGGGCGGCGGACTTTTCTTGTTGTGGGTGCGAAGGTGCTATACGATTACCGTAGACGACATGTAATGGGAGCCATTTCTCCCTGGCGGAATTCAGTGGTGCATTGTTTCCCATCTCATGTTCCATTCATAGGCTAAGTGGGCTCTTATCTAACAATGGTATAATTAGGTATGGGGCTCGATACTCAATGCGCTAAATTACAATCAGCCTGTAACGCTTACCGTCCTTTACTTTGATAGGTCGTGGATTTCACTGCAACCTAAACGTGTCGGACGCGGGGAACGGAGACCGGTGAAGCAATTAAGGATCTTGACTTTTGTCCATGACGTCCTGAGTTTAAAATTTATTGAAAGCAAAAAATGCTTTTAGTGCATTTATATGCGTCCCTTTATCTGTAGTAGAAATGCCTTTCCAGCTGTTGTTTCAGTACAAAACGGTAAAGCTTACCTTAGCACCCTAAACAATCATCTGGAAACACTTTGTATTTCCTAACCCCACCTTTGCGGTAAAAAAAGGTCGGCTCAAAAGGACCATCACGTGGTATTTCACGACGAAATTACACGATCGCTACGAATATGACTTTACATACTTATACTAATGGCATGGCGGCTGATTGAGGGAGGCGGACGGACGTTTTGATGTGGCCTAAGGTGACAAGGGAAACCGCGCAGGTCTCGGGGCTGCATGGGGCGTCATGGCGATCGGGCGCCGGTACAGCAGACGCAATTAGAGCTAAGTATCCCTGGCGAGCTATAAAAACTGACTTTATCTGCTTGGTATATCTAAACACACAAATATGAACAGATATTTTAAAAAATGGATGCTGACAAAATGAAGTAGTATAAGTTCTTTATATATTTACATAAAGCATTTTCATTTTCACCGTAATAGTTCCCTTCCTTAATATTTGTCATATGTCGTAGCTAGTTATGTTGTAACTTAAATAGTATGAGTATGTGAGTAACGTTAATCGAAAGAAATTTGCATGTGTTTCAGTTTCCGCCATTTATAAGCCCTTTATAAACACAAAAACTGCATTAGTTAAACGATGGTTTGTTTTTGCCTTTAGTTTTTACTGTAGCGAGACTGCCAATAAAAACTGAACTATACCGCACAATACCGGGAGACATTTTGAATTATGAAGGATGTGCTCATTTATTATGTGGCACAGGTGACGTCACTGTCCCACCACTTCCTCAGTTTACAATGAGGAAATTACTTGCAGATAAAGATACACGTCAGCACTCATGTTCACCTCTTGTTCAGTTTATGCCACTTCTGGGTAAATATGAATAAAAATTTTCGCTATGTTTTATCACCTACTTTGTCTGAATGGGTGACACTCCAGCAGTTCAACACCAATGTCCTGGGGCTGTTTGCTCAGTGGGAGGAACCAACTTTCACAAATGGGGGGTGTCTCTTTACAGTCCCCTGACAGTGATTGCCCACAGACTTTTGTTCAAGTGTCTTCCCTTGCTTAAACTACAAAAGAGTTCTGTCATCGGCCACTGTCCCCCCCCAGTGCATTCTCATCTAAATGGGCTGTGCAAGAAATGAAGACAATGCATAAATACAAAAGATTAAATCAGCTCCTTTGGGGTTTCTTTTCGTACATATGAGAAGGCCCCTTTTTTTGGGGGGGGGGGGGAAACTTATCTTGAGGACCACGTGAATTTCATCTCCACTGGCTGACGAGTGCTGTAAAAGTCCCCCTTTTACCCGTTCCCAGCTCTGGGATTATTCCTGACAGAGGAAGTGTTTGCATACGTACAAGGTCCCGACCTTGTGATGTTAGAATTTGAAAGGTAGTAGAAAGGTACAAGCACAATAATTTAAATTTACCGTAGTATTTCCTTGAAATAAGCCCTCGACCACACCTTGTACATCTTCACGCTTCAAAGATTTTTCTCGTCCTGGTCAAAGGATGGGCGTATAAGGCATCTATTAAATCTGTACAGTGTGTAGGCATTATTTCCCTTTGAATGAAATCCAGTTCAGCAGAATTAAGAGTGCTTTGTGTCCCAGTATCTGCTGTCTTTGACGGTGATCCCTTCTGGTGGCACAAGTGATTTATTACAGTAACAAAAAAGGGCATATTTCAAAAAGCACAACTTGTAAGGGAAAAAAAAAAATCAGACCCTATAAATAAATGTTAATCAAAATAATGGATAGAGAGGACTCTGGTTCATTAGCAGGTTGATGTTACTTTTAAGAGGCATATTTAAGAGAACACAATTAATGAACGGCAACCACATATTCGCTTTTAACAAATAAACCGTAACAATGTATAAAATTACACTGGCCGTTTTTAAGGTGCCTGTAAAGAGCTGCCCATGGAAAAATACTGAACTAGACCTTAGGGTATAAATAGGGTAGAAAATTATCCCTCTAAGTGTATTCAGGTTTTTCAGTTCCTCTAGTAAAAATAGAAGATCTAGGACTACTAGACTAAGGCAGTTATACATGTATTGTTGTGAGAAGTTGTAGCTTAAAAGGCTCTAAAAAGTAGCTGTAATTTCACTCGGCAGCTGAACATCAACTCCGCACACAAACACGTCAGCATGTTAGTTGCTTCCGTTACGGCCCAGTTTCAATGAAAGGCAAACTTTCCTGTTAGCCGGCACTCCTCCTCGGAATGCAGAAGCAGGCAGATTAGCCTGAAGGCAACCATATGTTTTGCTTGCTCGAGACCCACAAACCACTTTAACGTAGACATTTATTATTATTTTTCTTAAAAAAATACATTAGCGTTTTAAAAATACTGATTTGAACATTCTTGCAGCATGCCGTAACACTCGCAATATCAAATGACCTTCAATATGTCTTTCATAGACATTTCAAGTAAGTGTTTAACACTAGGCTTCTGGTGAGCGGAATGGCCTGGTTTCTCCTGCGGCCAAAATCCTTCTGGTCGCAGGATCATCCCCTCACTGAAACTGCCCTACCGTGTGAAAATGGGCGCTTCTTGGCTGAGGTCATGGCCTCTTAATTGCAGTCTGGCCATGTGTGGCTCCAGGAAAACAACGCTCAGTAAAGTCTTTGTAGTCATATGTTCTGAAAACGTACATATGCATACACACACATACACAGTTCCATAGCAGGGAATCCTGAAGTCTTCTTGTCAGATTGTCCTTGCACATTTGTCCAGAGGCAGGCACAAGATAGTCAAACATAAAGGTTTGGTGTAGCCTGTCTTAAGAGGTCCTTTGTCCCACTGTTCCCTGGCAGATCTCCTCCACAGTGTTGAAGGCCTTGCCCGAGTACTGAAGAGGTCTATAAAAAGTAGTCCCGGTAAGGGTTGTGCGTTACCATGGCAGCTGGCGGAAGGATCTTAGCTGGCCAAGACACGGGAACGCATCCAGTCCAGGCTGGCAGGTAGACTGATAGAAAAAACAAGAAATACAGATATAAGAACAGGGCAACTGTTTATATAATGACTATGAGATAAGACACTCAGACGTCTAGTAGCTGGCAGAGAAAACCACCCGCCCACAGTGAGGTGTCACTCACCCTTCACCGGTGAGGGCACAGCATGCCTGGATGTGCCAGGAGTGACCTGTGATGGAGCTGAGGGTCAGGCACTGGGAAATCTCAGCCGCAGTCATCGAGTTCTTCATGTCCTGCTTGTTAGCCAGGATCAGCACAGCAGCGTTCTGGAGGTCCTGAAGGTTTACAGACAACGCAGATATTTAGAAGAAGAATACATTTCACAGATGCATGTCTGATTCAGCTAATGAGAGGCTGAATGAGTAGCCAATTCAGTGAAATGGGTGTGGCACCAAGAAAAGCAAAACAAGTATATAGAATGGATGGTATTTTCTGACCATTTATGCCCTCTGCACTACAGTGCCCTCTGGTGGTTACCTCATGAGCTAGCATACGATGCAGTTCCTCTTTATTTAACGTGATGCGCTCTCGGTCAGTGCTATCCACAACTAGGATCACAATCTGAAGAAAATACAAACAAAGGAGATGAGAGGTTAGAAGAATATATATCTTTTTAAATATTGTATTAAAGTTAAAGAATTTAAAGTAGTCACATTCGTGATATAAATTCCTTATTGGATACCATCAACGAGGCCTTCTCAGTGGTAAGGAATTTAACAAGAAATCCAGACATGACTGTCTGAAGTTTGCAGTGTTTTGTTGTGTGTGTGTGTGTGTTTTAATTTTACGGGCATTGGGTGTTCAGGTTAAAATAGCATTTATAAAAAGTGTGTCAAAACTAATAGTGTTGAGACTGAAAAGGCTGGCATTGTCACATAACTATGAGATAGAGAACTCTGCAGATAAAAAGAAATGAAAAAAATGCTCATTGCTGTTGCCGAATAAACACAAAACATTCCATAATCATGTGAGTATAAAGAAATGATACAGTACATTATAAACATGTCCCACACTTATGCAATGATTGAGGCAAACATGAAATGAACAGGGCTGCATTTACCGAAAGCATAATTGCTAACTACGTTACATAGTTGGAACCATGAAACTGAGTGGATCCAACCATGTAAGCTGCCAACGGGAGTGTTTGGGAAACGCATCCCAGGTTAGTAGTACCTCTGTATTGCAGTAGTAGGAACTCCAGCTGGTCCTCAGGCTCTCCTGGCCACCGATGTCCCACACTAGGAAGCGGGTCTTCCGGACAGCGATCTCCTCCACATTACTGCCAATGGTGGGGGAAGTATGTACGGCCTCTTTGGTTAGACTGAGGAAGACAGACAAAGGGGGTTAGTGGCGGAGCTCACATTTGTATGGGGTGCAAAACAAAAACAATTCTGGTCACAACCATGTCACCTAAAACTGACACAACTGTGCAAAGTGAATATTGTCTTTCCTGTTGCAAAATTCCTTTCAGTCTTCTTTTGTGCAGAAACTGTGAAATGCAGACACGTTGATGCTCTTTTTATATACTACTGAAATTATGCTATGAAGCATTCAAAGCAAAGAAACTGTGAAAGTGACAATGTTGCTGTCCTTTCCTGTGGTACTTACAATTGATAGAGGATTGTGGTTTTTCCTGCATTGTCCAGTCCAACAATGATTACCTTGTGCTCTGTGTAAGCGGAGACAGAAGAACATTTAGGGACACACGTTGGTGTTTTTAATATCAGCTTTACTTCATCTCCTCTAGATAACACTGCACACATCTTACTCTAGCACTGAGGATTTAGGGCAAATTACACAACCATGGCAACAGCTCTCCATTCCCCAAGTGATTTTCCACATTGTGCTACTACTGCTAGTGAGTCTTACAAGGTTTATTATGAGACTACAACAGCTTTATTTTGCTACGAACCTGCTTGCGACCAAGTCGCAACTCTCCGAAAATGGGGAACCTATGCAACCATGACAACGTAAATACAAACCAATATCTAAATCGTCGCACCAAGCAAGAGATTGACAAAGTGAACGATTCCTTTAAGAAATAACAGTGAACATTTTACGTAACGTTCAAATGATCATTTCCCCCTGATAGACCTCAGCCACACACGATCACTGATCACCAAATACTAATTCGTGGGTAAGTGAAAATAATAGTGAAAACTCCCACTTGCTTCATTTGTATTTTATCGCATTGTTCCTTAGTAAAGAAGAAACAGTAACTGATTCGTGTCTGCACAGGCGGTTATAAACATCCACGAAGGATCTGCTTGTATCCAGATGTACTGCTTTAGAGCTAAAACTCCGTGATGCTAATGCTAAAACTAACGCTACCATTCTAGCTGTTGGCTTTCAGAGTCAAAATACTCCCCAAATAACAATTCAAGGGAAAGTAGATTTCAGCTTATACACTGTCACCGTACCTAGTTATTGTAGCAAAAATATTCTTACCTCGGTCACCGAAAATGGCCATTAATTTGGCGAAGAGGAGTCCCATATCCAACCGCAGCAAAAATAAGAAACCGATAGCTCAGTGCAGGAAGTGTTATTTCTTTTTAATTATCTGTTCTGACATCAAAAGGTATAGCTACACTGGGGTCTGGCAAAAGTACTTGGATGACGGCAAGTCTAATCAAGCAACTGTCTCATTTACAGACGACAGCAGCACCACACCGCCAAGCACATAAAACAGTAGTATATCACCAGGTATATATCGTCACGTATGAGCCGCGATCTGTCACAGGAGTATAAAGCCAGATATCTCACAAACTTGTTCGTCCACGTCACGGCGAGCGTCCGCGTGCCAAAATTCCCACCTCAGGCCGACACGGTTTCTACCGCTTCAACAATAACATGACGTAAGCATGGCAGAGAGCGCGTGGAACGGGGAGCGCCGCGTCGATTGGCCAAGCGCCGGCTCGGAATGGAACGTTCGGTTTAAAAAACCGGAAATTATACGCCATATATGGAAAGAGTGGTGATTTTCGTGGTGTGCTTTCAGGGCTGGTTTGGGTTTCTGTTCCTCAGTAGAGATTTCATTTTCTCTGATAGTGTACTCCGTTTTTTAACGTTAGGAGAGGAAAGTACAGAACTTTTACGGGATCTTTCAAGTCGCGACTATATTTGTTTATGATTTGTTCACGATTTATACTTCAGTAGTAACTGTTACTACGAAGTATTTGTGTCCCCTCACGTGAAGTGTTATCAATACATTAAATACACCTGTTATTTTATTAGATTTTAATATCAGCCTTAACTGCATTAAATTAAGACACATACGTGCCGTGGGTGTACGGATTTGATCGCAGTTCTCATCCGTTTTACTTGCCAGGGAGACGTTATCTAACAATACTGCAGTTGGGGGAGGGGAAGGGGAGAACACAGAAATACTCCATCAAAAGGAATTTAACTCTGAAGTAATAAAATCATAATTACAAATGCTGCCACCAGGGAAACTCATATTCATATGAGTCAGCTGTAAAAGATGCCTGACAATCCACATTCTGATATGTGACTTTCCAAAGCAACATGAGACAACTATTGGTGCTCGAATTGCAGATGCATCAGTAACCAAAACATTCTTACTGCAAGTGTCAAGGAAAATGGTCTCAAAGATCATGACAGCAAGTGGTAAACATGGACAAACTGCATCAGCAAAGAGGAATAGGAGTACTGACAGGATAGATGGACACTCGATAGATGTAAACCCCCACAAAAGAATGATCTCAAAAATGACCATAAAACTGTACGAGCAACTTGGTGACCCAGTCTCAGCACAAACAATATTGTGAGTCTCAACCAACAATGTATGATGGCTTGGGGAGCTGTTGTGTGGGAGTCATTATGCTTTCTTGCATAGTAGTATGATGTCCAAGAATTATGAGGACATATTTCAGGACCAGGTGCAACCTCATGGTGCCAACACTCTTCGTGATGATCCCATTTTCCCAGACAATTTATTAGTGATCTCATAAACACCATGATGAATCCCTTTGCAGCCAGCTTGCTTACACCTACAGAGAGCAAGTTGGGGTAGGTGTGACAAGAATTTCTCTATGGGGATCAATAAAGTATCAATTATTATTATTATTATTATTATTATTATTATTATTATTATTATTATTATTATTATTATTATTATGTCAAATGCCTTTGTTGGTCTCCTCTGTTACCAGATATACAAATCATTGAATCCTTGGGGCAGGATAACATTTATGGATAGGGGCTTTCTGGAGTGCACATAAATCCCTCAAAAAGCTGGTTTTCTCAAATGGTCCAATATCCCAGTGCACATAGTTCAGAACTTTTATGATTGTATGATAGAAGCATATGAAGCAGTTCCGAAGGCTGGTTTAAGTCAGATAAAAAACTTCTATTGTGTTTCCTGACTTTTTATTAAACTCGGGTCACCGTGTTCTTCGTCAGTCTGAGGTGGTATTGTAGAGTCTGATCGAATCGCAAGGCTTTAGTGTCATGGCATGTTTGGGAATATAAAAGGTGCTGCAGAGTTCACTTCTGTGTGGAAGGTTCGTAGTTGGTTAGAGTGGAGTTTGGGTTATTGGTTGAGTGCTGAAATCAGTGTGCGTAAGCTGTGGACTGGGACCAGAGTAGTGGTTCATTGATAAATTTCCATTCGCCTTGTTTGAGTGGCAGCTTGGACACTGCTGTATTCTCAAATGTATAAGGGGTGGAGTTAACTGGTGTTAGGGAATGTGCCATGGATGGCTGTTCAGATACTGAATTAAGTGTTATTACATTTGTGTCTTTGAATCATTTTAAAATGGTGTTGCCGTGATAGGTGGATCAGGGTTAAAAATAACTGAATTGAGGTTCCTGCCCAAGAATGACGTTGGAAAATAACACTGACATGAAACTCCAGAAAGAAGCTAAGAAGGCTGTAAAAATATCAAGACAATGTGAATCATTTAAGTCATAATAAGCTTTTAAAAAGCCAGTCAGTGAAGGGCTGTTGGTGCAACTGAAGAAAAAGTGCTTGCATTGCACTTCCTGTGGAGGATGACAACATGGGGTTTGATTCTGACACGTGTATAAAAACCTCAAGAAACCTCGCTGCGAAAGATTGAGCTCCTCTGCCGCAGGAGGTGCCTTGAAAGTGGGGCCAGATTACATTGTGGTCTCCCTGGTTCCTGGGTGTTGTGAACCAGAAATATGCAGACTACCGCTGTGAGCTCCAGCACAGAGCAAAATGGAGAACTTGGTGGGACAGACTGTTGAGAAAGGGAATCCCCAAACATTTATCGCCGAAATAATAGAAACTGAAAGTGATTATAGAATGTGAAAACAATTAATCTTTTTGTCTGGCATAGCTTACTTCAAATAACTGTGTGGTACTGCATTGTCTTATGAAGTGTAACACTAATATTATGAAGTGTGGTCAAAACATTCTGACAATTATGCTGTATTATTTGCCAAAGTTTATTTTGATTTTATAATCTTAAATTATTTTTTTCTCTGCTGGCCCTAAAGCTGTTCCATAGTAATATCATTTTGGAAGCAAAGATAATTGTACAGTTTTTAGTGTTAGTTAATGCAAGTATGATTGTAAGAGTGACAGAGTATATTCATATATATTCTAAATATCTTAGTGCACTGAAACAAGTGATTCCTTTAAAGGAATATTAGACTAAAAGACCACGCCCTATATCCTTCCAAAAATATAAATGGTAAATCGTTTTGTGTGATGACTGCATTAACAGTTGCATTTTCATGAAAGATCTTCATACATTTCTAAGCAAAAAACAATTTACTCACTAAGGCCTGTGTCAGAATGAGCAGTGAATTGCTACGTTCTGTCTGAAACGAGGACAGTGGGTTACACTGTCAGGCTATAGCCATTTCTGCAAGGTCCTTATAAACGGGCATTGTTGTGCAGTTAGTTCTTAAGTTGGAGGACACTGCAAAAAGGAAATTTGCTGTCAAAGGCTGGATAAAGCTGAATTAATACTTTATTGATTTTGTCATAAATTATGCATTTAAGTAAAGAGTAAAGAGAGTAAATGACACACAAATGTGAAATGTAAAGTGTCATATACATTGTGCTTTCAGAATTCTGATTTTGCAGTGTAGTTTTTTTGTTGTTGAACAAACCACAAATGACAAGCGTGTGGGTCACTTTAAGAAGATATTGATTGTATTTAATATTTCCATCACAAAAGATATCAGTCTTTTATTCCATCGGCTGAGAGACCAACGCTAACCTGATCTGTAAAAGGACCTAATCGAGACGGATTCCAGACCAGTGACACCTAAAAGTACAGGGTATTTCCATCAGCATTACTCTGTCTGATTTAAGCGCAGTAAACATGACGACCAGAACCACTGACAGTAAATCATCACTGAACAGGCACTTATTTCAACTGTGTACAGTACTAGCCTTAAGAGAAGCTATGTCTTTTTATCCATACATAAAACAGTAAGACGTAACAAAACCACAAAGGCCCGCTTGGTTAGAACGCGTTTTTTTCTCTCGTTTTTTTTAGGTACATCCTGTCTATTGGATTAGATCTCAATCAGGAAATGATGATTATGTCGATCTGGTGAGCAGCGACGTCATGGACCAATGGAGACTCTACAGCTCAGGAAAGGTTTCAGGTAGAGCAGAGTCTGATGGCCGCTTCCAGTATGGGTCGTGTGCGTCCTTCTGTCTTCGGTTAGAACGGCTGCCGCTCAAATCTAGAGTTAGGCCAGGGCTGGTCCTTCGCTGTGTTCCGCAGAAGGATTTGCCTTGGACATGCTCTCGTGAAGACAATCTTCACGATCCTTCATTGAGTTGACATCACCGTGGTTGAGCGATAGGCAATCCTTCTCAGTACTCTCTTTTGACAGAGGCAACAATACTTATCACCCTTATTGTCCTACAGAGCTTGGAAACCTGACCTGTTGCTAAGAGACTAAAGGTATTACTGAGTAATGTTGAGTACTTGTACCATTATGGTATATTTAAATACTTTGTAATTTCATTGTTTGGGATACAATGGCCAGGGAGCATCATCTCAATGCCTTAGATCACATTGGACCTCATCAGAGGTAAATTATATTTTCCCCACTAACATCCAAGAGATACGTATGGTTAAATACACTTGTTTGTGTCAGGGCCAAAAAGGGTTTATCTAAGGCTTTGGCTTCTGAAGTCTGCATGCCTCTCAAAGCACTTGATTACTGAAGGCAGTTAAGGTCCGGCAGACATTCAGAGTTTTATGATTAAGGCTTCAGGATGTTGTCTACGCATTAATTTCCTATGTGTAATGTTACGTTAGCCTTATGTGATGTTGGCGAGAACATTAAGGTACATTCTCAGGGACACGCCTGGTTTTTTTTTTTTTTTTTTTTTTTTTTACAGGTGGTTCTGATAAATCTACGTAAACAAGCGGCACATGCTGGTTTATTTTATTTTTTTAAAAGGTGTTTTTTTGTTTTACTTCTGCTGCAGATGACGGGGCAAAGTGTCCACAGGAAGCCATTTGAACCTTTTCAGAGACCTAGATAAGAATATTCACCGTTCACTCTCACCACACCTCCACCTATGAGTCAGTCTGCTGAGATCCTTGAGGAAACGAGAGCTCTTTTATGTATTTTGTCTCTGTTACTGTCTTGCTCCTGCAGGCAAACTCGTTAGACTGCAGTGCTGGCTGTCTACAGTTCACGTGTTGGTACACGGTTCAGTGGCAGTCCTTGGTATTTACAGATGCTCCTTCCAGTCCTCCAGGTGGAACAATGTGAAAACAACTTCCTTACTTTTCCCACTGTGATTCATTCTTTTTTTTTTACATAGGCCTATAAATATTTTAAAGGGCCGGGAAAGTCTCTGGTCTGCAGTGTATCGACACACTTTCTCCCTTGTTACAAGTTCATTTTTTATTGTTAATTTTGATGCTCCTAACATTATAATCTGTTCAGCAATTTCTTTTGTTTTCTGTTGAAATAATAGCTAAAATAATTACTTAACCACAAATTAAAAACGGGTCAGAAAAGAGAAATGAATGTTGCTATATAGCCACATATTTTCCCTTTCAACCACTGCAACAGTAACTCAATATTTACTATTCAAGAAATAAGATTATGAATAGGAGTCCAGTGAAGAAATACAGGAACTTTCTGTTTAGACACTTGTGAAGGTCAGTCTGTTGATTTACACCCGTGGTGACCCAAGTAATCGAGGTGACGTAGTGTGACAGTGTCCAGAGCAGCTGAAAAGTGGCGTGATGTGGACACTGGGACTTAGACATCAGCTTAGACCTCAGGTACTGAGGTAAACACACAAATGTCACATGACTGTCCGATGGGTAGCATTGAGGGCTTGACACTGGGCCCAGCTCTGTGACACTCCGTGACTAGTTGTCCAAGTTGGCAAACACGTGTCCATGTGCGTGAACATGTGTGTGAGTGTTCCCGCCCCTTCACTGTGCTTCCCGCAACAGGCCTCACGCCACAGGTCCAAATGGGCCGACAAATGTACCAAAAAAAAAAAAAAAAAAGTCTGCCGATATGGATTGCTCTACGGCGCCAGGTTTTCACCTTAAGGACACACAGAGAAGTGCGTGTGTGAGTTCGGGTCTCTTAGCGCTGCGTGAGTGAGTCCGATGGCAAGTGATGAATATGATCATAGCCAAGCTGGAGCTTAGAGGAGGGGGGCAATATGAGGAGGGGGGCAAAGCAGCAGGAGATCAGCATCTCCCTTGCGGCCGGAAGCTAATAAGACAACCAAACACCAGAAAGCAGGTCTGTTCATACTAGATACAATCTTTGGATCAGTTTTGTTTTCCTTTACTCCAAACTAGCTTTTTTGTGACTAAAAATGAGATCAATTTAACAACTGGGACCTTTCCCTTCACAGAATGGGAAAAGTCTGACTTGATTAAAAATGGGATGGTGGCCTGCTGGAGTCAAAAAGACCCTGAAACACAGAGCTCAGAATAGTTAATCCTGGTTAACGTGGTAGAGGACAGACCTGACCCATTTCCTCCTGTTCTGCATAACAGCGACCACATTTTTAACACTTTTAAAGTAATTTAAAACATAGCAGCTATAATATTGTAGTCCTAACCTGTTGGATCTAGAATCTTCTGCTCAGCTCCGTTATAGACGTGAAACTCCGTTATAGACGTCGTCCAAGTTCAAGGTTTTGTTCTCACTCCCGTTTCTTGCTAACTTTCCACGTTTAAAATGTTTTTGTTTTTTTTTCATTTTCAATTTACGTCCATAACGTATATTTCTTCTCTGGTGTATGTATACCACTTCCTGTGCTGTAAACCTGGGTTTTAAAAGCTATATATAAAATAAATGCATCACTACACTTGTTTTTAAAGGAATCTGACACTCTGGGATAAAATGGGTATCATGCAGTAGTAACCAATAAATCATTATCTTGCAATGCCTGCCAATTGTTTAAATAAATAATTAAAAAATAAGAAATAACTTATTTTAGGATTGTAAAACTAGCCTATTTCGAAGCCACTGTTTACTCGGATTGCCAGGACTAACCGGCTACACCATTGGCCGTACTTCCTGTCTGTCAGTCAGCCTCCCATCCAATAGTAGGTCTAGCGAATGTAGACGTCCCGCCCCCAGTCCTCCTGATTCTTGTTGCGGCCCAGGGTGTTGCCGGCATCTCCCGGATCCTGGCAGTATCGCTCCCTGGGCTTGCCTCGGGCATGTTGCTCGTGGTGGGCCGGGCGGTTTAGGTTCTCTTGGTCCGGCTCGGCACCCTCGTCCTCCAGGGAGGCCTGGAGGCTGTGGCGTAGGCCCGGGCGCGGACGGCCACCTGCCCCGCAGTAGGGCTCCGTCTCCTCGTAGGGGTCCGTCTCGATGTCCATGCAGGAGTCGCCGGCCTCCGTGTAGGCCGAGTCCCTGCTGCCCTGTGTCTCTGAGTCGAAGGTGTCCTGCCGGGAGAGGCCCCGGCTTCCGGCGGCCCGCAGCTGGGCCCGCGAGGAGCTGCTGCGGAGGTAGGCCTGCTCCGGGGCATGTGGCCTCCCCGCCGTGCCGCCCTGGTAGTCGTGGAGCCCGGCGCGCTCCGACAGAGGCCCGTCATGCTTCACTTCTCCGTGCACCAGATACGGCCCCTGCAGCATGCCCCCGCGCCAGCCATGCAGAGGCGAGACGACACACCAAGGCAAAGGCAGGAAACGGTTAGTGATGCGGCAGGCCGGCGGGGAGAGAGGGCAGGCCGGCGGGGAGAGAGGGCAGGCCGGCGGGGAGAGAGGGCAGGCCGGCGGGGAGAGAGGGCAGGCCGGCGGGGAGAGAGGGCAGGCCACAACGACTCGTCAAACTGTTAGAAGGGCTAACGTACGTCACCTGTCAGGGGTGACAGTGGTGGGAGGGGGTGAGTGAGAGGAAGAGGAGGAGGAGGCAGAGGCAGGGGGCATGATAATGATGAAGGTGTGGCAACCATGGATTTTCAAACGTTAAAAAATGCTGAATGTGACCTCCTAGTCATATGAGCTGAAAAAGGGGAGAAACCCCAGTCCCACTCTACGCTTCTACTGACGCAAATCGCCACGTAACAGAGCTGGCGTCGCCATGGTGACCACGTAAACATCAGGCCGCCGGAGGTCGCGCCGCACGACGCCTCCGCGGTCTTGCCCGTGGGGCGCGTTAGCGGCAAGCTGGAGACATGCGGCCACGCAGCCGGGCATGCACACCGCAAACAGGCAGTCTCCGGGATTCAGGCAGTCTCCGGGATTCAGGCAGTCTCCGGGATTCAGGCAGTCTCCGGGATTCAGGCAGTCTCCGGGATTCAGCTACCAGAATGTGTCTAAATGAATGCAACTCGTCATGTTGCCACGGCAAAAGCAAATTTCCATGATAAAGCTAAATAAATGCATAAATACCTGTAAATATTTGTAAACAAATGATGATTCGGGTCATCATATTTTTTGAGGTAGGTCTGAACCTTTTGATTTGGTGAACTTTATTTAAATCAAGGGTTATTGCGCTACGCACACGCATTTCAGTCTCCTAAAGAGTGAGAATACTGAGCTATCTATAGCACGCCGACGTATTTACATTTACAGATAACCGATTTCCTGCCATCGGTAAATGCCACGACGTCATCGGACGGAGAGAGGCAGGATGGTAATCGACAGTAATTGAACTGGTAGCTGTTCCAGGGGAGCTGTGGGACGCTTTACAGGAATGGCTGTGGCAGGATAGGCACGCCTCAGACGGCCCCTGTTTGACTGTTAGCTCCTACGGGCGATGAAATAGACCATCCACCTTTTCCTGTTCAATTCTGTCACGCGGATGAAATCAAGCAGGACGTCTGTGTTAGTCACACCTACCCCTGGAGTCAGGCTGCCCCCCCACCCCCCACACCCAGTAATTAGGATGAGAAGCAGCCGTCGCATGCCGTGCCCCTCCGCCAGGGGGCTGAGATGACTCATTCCCGGCGGGACCCGGTGCCTTGGCGCAACGGAGAAGAGAAGCCATTGGGGCGGGGGACGCCAATGCCGGGCGGATGAGTAAGATGGGGCTGGGTGCGGGTTCTAATAGCCCTGGGAAAATCGACGCCCTCCGATGTATATAAACTGTCATCCTGGGAAATAAATATGTTGTGTTCCGATAGCGTGGGGGGGGGTGGCCGTGCCTTTTTGGTTTGCGCCGGTTCTTGCGTGGTTCTGCTTTCCTGAGAGGCAAGGCTGACAGTTTGGTAGTCCTTTTTTTTGCAAGATGAGGGCTTGAGATAAACTTTTTTGTACATTTGTGTGAAGGATGTCAGGAAGAGACTGATATTGTTAATGTTCAGTCTTCTGGTGTGACGTGTGTGTGTGTGTGTGTGTGTGTGTGCTGTCACCTCCTCCGTTTGTGTGTGTGTGTTTGTGTTTGTTTGGATATACAGCGCAAAAAGGCTGCCGCTTGCTCATTAACCAAATATCTCCCCCCCCCCCCCCCACCACAACACCAAGCTGAAATTCGCCCTCAGGGGGTGGGAGATGGGGTACTTCCATCGGTGACCCCGCCGGGCCTCCGAGCCTCTAGAGGGCGTGCTCTTCCTCCCTGTCGTCGTCGGAGGCCAGGCCCGAGAACAGGTCTAGGTTGCGGCGCAGCGAGGTGAGCACCTGTACCTGCAGATTTGAGACGGGTTCGGGCGAGGCAGCCAGGGCAGCAGTGGCCATGGTGCGGTTCAGCAGTGGGTTGGGGGGGTTACTGCTGGGGGGGTGCGTGGCTTTCCAATAGGCCTCCAGGTATTCGGCCAGGTGCTCGCAAGCATCTTCCAACTGGTTCTCGTCCAGGATGATGTCAAACAGCTCCTGCAGTGAGCATATGCAGTGAACCAGCTCCTAAATTATGCTCTGTTTTGGCCTGAACTTGGCACAATGGCTACAGAAAACCTGCAGTGAGCATATGCAGTGAACCAGCTCCTAAATTATGCTCTGTTTTGGCCTGAACTTGGCACAATGGCTACAGAAAACCTGCAGTGAGCATATGCAGTGAACCAGCTCCTGAATTATGCTCTGTTTTGGCAAGAAGTTGGCACAATGGTTACAAAAAACCTGCAGTGACAAGGTGACAATTGATATCACGGGAAATTCTAAACCTGAATAGTAAAATTTTCTAAATTTCTGTAATTACTGCACTCACATAGTGTTATTTAGGCAGTATAATGACTATTTGTGTTATCTGGCTTGGAAGAATATCTAGTGATATCATAACAGAGCCAAAAGGCTGAGACTTTACATCTACTAAGAAGGAATTTGGAAATATTCCCATCTTCCATAATGTGATGTGTCCCCGTGCAGGCCGACAGCGTGGGCACGTACCGGGGGGCACTGGGCCAGCTTGTCTGCTGCCACCATCTGCACATTCAGATGTTTGGCCTGGGACTTCCCCCGCGACTTGATGAGCCTCTGGAGGACCTGGTGGGTGTGTGGGGGGAAGGTGGGGTGCTGTTAGCCAGTAGCCAATGAACAGACTTATCATGGCATCAGGCAGTTCCGCTGGGGGGTCGCCACCCCAACAGGCCTGCAGCTGACGCAGAGTCAGTAAACAGTAAGCATGTCAGTCCTCTAGCAATAATAAAAAAAAACATGTAGGGCTATTCGACAATTTAAGAAAGAGGAACAGAGAAAAGCGTTATTTACATCAACACTCAGAGCTCGGCTGTGCCTCTCTGAACTATGACACACATCAGAGTGGTGCAGCAGATCTAAAAAAAAAAAAGCTTTGAAATTGAAAGTGGGTGGGGCTTCCTTTCACTGTGGACTGATGGCTGCTTTACCTGCTTCCCTTTACTTTGTTTGATCCCATTAGATTAAACGTTTACATTTATTTAGCTGGCACTTTTTCGCTTTTCAGCCAATCCCTAAAGCCACTGGCGGTTAAGGGCCTTGTTCAGGGGTCCAGTGGTAAAATCACTCTACCGGCTGCAGGATTTGAACTGGCAACATTCCGGTTATAGGCGCAATGTCTTAACCCACAGAGTTACACACCGGCCCTGGGTTTTAAACCAGGGTTTGGCCCAGGGTTCTGTAACCATGGTAACGCTAGCTGAGTGAGGGTGTCTGGGCATCACCTTGGGGGAGGAGATCTTGATGTAGACGATAATGGGGGCCAGAGAGGTCTTGGATAGTTGGGACGGGTGGTTGATGGTGTCGGCGTCCAGGGCCACCAGCTGCAGCGTGCGGGCCAGCTCAAAGATGCGCTCGATCTCGCTCTGCACCTCAGCTGTGGCGGAGTATGGGGGGGGGGGGGGTGTTATGCACAGGGACACAGCACAGGTCGGCTGTGCTGGACAATCTGCTCATCAAAACAGGGTGCAGGTTTCACCCGATCCGGTAACGCACACAAACGGGCGTTTGTTTCTGCATGATCGGAACGTGTTTCCAGCCGAGTGATTAGCGCTGTGTCACCTCACCGGAACCCGCCGCCCAGATGAATCACGCAGACTGGGGAACCACCAGGCATTTCATGTCCCATCTGGGAGCGGCCAGGACAATAATAGGAGCATCCCGTCCATCTGTCTGCTCCAGATGCCCGGCGTTCGCAGGTATGTGGTCCCCTCGTTTGTGCCGAATGACGTCGTGAAGAGGGGACACTTGTGTGGCACGTCTTCCTCCCCCCGAGTGGCTGAAATCTAACTGAACACTTCTGGACTTGTGAAGACTGTGGTAGAATTTTTATTCTTTCTCAGTTTTAGTCCAGTTCAGCTGTGTCTGAAAATGCATTGCTAACTACATGGCCACTGTCTTGGGGGGGCAACTGAAGCAGTTGTCCTCGTGCCAGAAGAGGGCCTTGATGGGGGGGGGGGTTGACCAGGCCCCCACGTTGCCGTCCCCTTTCCCAGTTTTCAAATTTTTTCAAACTATGAAGAAGCTCCAATCGTAATTTTTCTCCCAAA